AAACATTTTTTTAACTAAAAAAAAACAACGTTTTTTAAGCGTTCAGACTAGCAATACCTAAAAAACGTTCAAAATAAAAAAATAAAACAATTGTACAATCTCTTTATTGATGCTTCTTGCCCTGGTTAATCTTTTAATGACTGATTAAAAAGGTATTTAACGATAAGTAACGTTATTTTGATAGCGCCAAAGCGCAGAATATCTAAAATACCCACAACAAAAACAAAATAAGTAAGGATTTGATTTTAAAAAATTTTCGAATCTTATCTCGAATCATATAATTTTGATTCGATTCGAAATTTCGAAGCCTTGCAGGGCCCTAATATATATATATATATATATATATATATATATATATATATATATATATATATATATATATATATATATATATATATATAAATATATATATATATATATATATATATATATATATATATATATATATATATATATATATATATATATATATATATACAGCATTTAACTGATTGTTTACTATCTGGAGAATTACAACTTTGGAACTGCAATGTCTAAAAACGCGCCTTCTTCAGACAAGAATAAGGAGATTTGGTCTTTAAATCTAATGCAATTTCAAAAGTGCAAAAAGTCAAGAAAGTATACTACCATTGACAGTCTTGATCAGATGCGAAGAATTCTAATGAGTCAGAATATCTTCGACAGATTTAAACCTCTGGCTTCTGATGTAAAATGAAGAAAAGAGTGACTTGTAATGAGAGCAGATGAAGTGAAAGGCCTATGGAATAATTTGAATCTGCCAATTCAACAAGGTAGAGCTACGGTTGCACGAAAAGTTGAGAGTGTAATAAAAACTTATGAAAAACATGCTCGAAGATCTGGAAACAATGATTTTAGTAAATTGTTTAATGTAACAGACGAGAAAGGAGATTGATTGTGCAAAGAAGACAGGGAGTTTTATTAACTACAGGTTTCAACAAAAGGTAAAGTAGGATATTGAACCACAAAAGAAGACACACAGGGGATACATCCAAGAAAAGTGAAAATGCTTAAAAGAAGAGTGTCAGTCATACAAGAGTCTATTGAAGAAAGTTGTAAAGAAGGTTTGGAAACAGTTACAGAAACAGAAAAATCTATGAGTGAAGAACAAAGTTATAGTAGCAATGAAGATTATGCGAAACCTTCTTCCAGTAAAAGGCAAAGAACTGATTCTGCAGTACGTTTGGTAACTGCAATAAAACTGAGAACAAGGAAGGCCCACAAAGTATGTGAAGCTTTGTGCAAAAGCGGAGTTTCCATACCTATTCCAACTCAGAGTGGCATCTACAAAGCTGTAATAAAAGAAGGAGAAAAGCTAAAAAGAAATTTTAAGAAAAATTTAAAAAATGAACACTGGTGTTTACACTTTGATGGTAAGAATATACAGAAGGAATCTGATATTCCTTCTGTATATTCTTCTGTAGTTGTTTTGAAAAATGAAACTAGCAAAGTCAGGCTTGCAGTCCTTTAATTGACAAATGGAAAAGGTGAGACAATATTCAATGGAATAAAAACTGTGCTTGACGAATATGAACTATGGTCCTCAATAAAATGGTTGTTTCTGATACAACTGCATCTAATACTGGAAAAATTTGGGAGCTGTCACACTGTTGCAGAAGCACTTTGAAGATATTGGACTGAAAAACCTGTGTTTATTGGTTGTCAACACCATATTCTGGATACGCTATTGAAAAAAGGTCATGAATGATCATATTAGGGGAACTACGAATTCCCCAAACATCTGTTATTCCATTATTTCACAAATAAAAGGACACTATGAACAATTGAAGAAACCATTTTATAATACAGAAAAGGAACAGGAGAAAGTAGAACAGGATTGCTGGCGAGATGACATGTCCTTTCTTGATCACATAGTATCATGCTACAGGTATTTCAAAAGTACAGGAAGTTTTCCAAAAGTGCATTTCCGATCACTTCCATCTATAAATAATGTAAGATGGAACTCAAGAGCCATTTATGTTTTGCCTAGTTTCATCCTGATGCCAGAGTTTAGATAAACAGCAAAAGTGGCATGTGATTTCATCTGTGGTTCATGGTCAAAAGTCTGGTTCTCTTCTCAGTTCTTCAATCTTGTCGACTTTGATAATTTGTTAGAAGCTTGTAAAGAGTATCCTAAGGCTTTGCGCTCGTTGAAGAGTTTTTGGTTAGTGGAGCCTACGCCTATAGCAACCCAGCGTTCAAATATCTGTGCCGAGCGTGCCATTAAAGTAATGCAAGACCTGCTTCTACTCTGCAGATCGACTGAAAAGGTGAATGTTAATTTTCTTTTAAGTAATGAACATTAGAAAAATACTGGTATGTTTATTTATCGGTGATGTATTGTAAAATGTTATTGTAAACTGATGCAACTTTTATGTGAATATACTTATATGTTATCCTTAGACACATCATTTTCTTATTTAGATGGTGAACTTTTTTTAAACAAAAAGAAAAATACTTACATATTTGTTATTTGTACACAAAACCTCCACTAATTATCATATGGGCATATAGGGTTATGAAACTGTCATATCCCTAATATATATATATATATATATATATATATATATATATATATATATATATATATATATATATATATATATATATATATATATATATATATATATATATATATATATATATATATATGTATATATATATATATATATATATATATATATATACTTAAAGGTTCAGGTTGCTAAAGTATAATGAATTTTTTTTTTTTAAGATAACCATTATAGTATGCATATTGCTTTAAGTCCTAGCTTCTAATTATAAAATCAAAAAAAAAAAAAGAAGCACAAAAATGGAAATGCATAAAGATCATATATAGGCACAAACTACCAATTTTAAATTATAAATTATTTATTTTTAAACTTTTTTTCATACTCTTACATATTTCCATATTCTTAGACATATATTTTGGTGATACTAGGGTAAGTATTAGGGTAAGTATTAGGGTAAGTATTGGGACTTATTTGATTATTACTTTTGTTGAACTAATAATTAAGTTTTCAGTGTGCAGAATAATAGAAACGGTAAAATTTCGTGAATTACGCAACATTTTTATTTATATATAAAAATGATGTTAAGGCCAAAAAAACATATTTTCTTTAAAACTATCGATGTTTTAGGGATCCTTTTTATATATAATAAAAGAAATTTTATGAAGTTATGCTTATAAACATTTTTATTTGTATATATAAAACCATATTTAAAGACATGTTAAACTAGAGTTTTTTTTATCAACTTTTCCGTTAACTATAAAAAAAGTCCCACATGATCCTACAATGTTTCCAACTTTAAACTATTAGTTTTGCTCTTTACATTAGAATTAGAAGCACAAAATTGTGCGATTTTGTTTAATTCTTATTTGAAATTTCAACTGATTTTTGAAAACTAATTAAAAAAAAAAGTTTTTTTTTCTTCTGAAATATAGTTTTTTTTGTATGAACATCCTTTAAAAACCATTGTTGTATAAAAAAAAAAAAATTCAATAGTAATAAATAATAAATCAAAGTAGAATAAAGAATAAAGAATCAAAATAATTTCTTTTGGGTTAAATAAATTATTTTTTACGCGTGTGATCAAATGAATTTGATCACGCGCATAATTACGCGCAAGTTTATATAAAACTGTATACCAGGCATACAGGTTTATATGTAAACCGGGTATACAGGTTTATATAAATCTGTATACCCGCATTGTATGCGTTTAAGCTGCTCATGAAAAATATAAATATTTACATATTTGAATTCTTTGACCTAAAAAACTATTTAAACTATTTCAACATTTACAATGTTTGTCAAAATTTGTTGAGTCTTTACCGTTTTTTGATCATTGATGATTTGAAGATCAGCTGACGCTTAATGTGACGCGGGCAGGATTGTTTAATTTTTCAGACATGACACTTTCAGACAATGTGTAAATCTCTGATTTAAGTATGTTTATGTTTATATCAAATGAGTATATTTTTCAAAAAATATTAGTGATTGGAGACTGGGATTAAAACCCGTTATTAATATAATTTTTTCAACAAGAGGGAATTAAAATAAAATACTCAACTGTACTCAATATAATTAAATGAAAAGTTGCTTTATTAACTAATTACCTAAATATATGGGGAGAAAACATTTTTCGATATTTTCGTTACTAGATCAACGCGAATTTTTTTGAAAAATATTTTTATAGAGAAAAATTTTGCGAGACATCTCAACTTTAAAATCATGTTTTCTCTGATTCGCAAAAATGTCAGTTACAAACGTGTTGCTCTGAACTCGTGATTATATCAAGTCGTATATTTAGACGCGTCGCTGAAAACGAAGAGCAAATTTATCTTAAGATTATCTAACTACAAAACATATTTACGCGCGTCAATTAAAGAAAAGAGCAAATTTATTTTAAGATTATCTTTCGAGTCATTTACGTACATCAAATAAAAAAAAAAGAGTAAGGTTATCTTTCATCAAGGAATATTTACGTGCGTCAATAAAAAAAAGAGTAAATTTATCTTAACATTAAGTTGTGCTTACACTTGCCATTTAAAAAAAAAAAAAAAGAACAAATTTATTTTAAGGGCATCTTACAAGTCATATTTGCGTAAACTACAAAAAGGACCTTATTGTAGTTTATTTGTTATTTGTTTTTCAGTTTACTCAAAATAATAATTTGTGTGAATCTTTAGGGTTCACACAAATTATTATTTTGAGTAAACTGAAAAACAAGTCTTTTTTTTCAGATCTATGCAAACATTGTATGGAGTGTCACTTGAAAAACTTAAAATGTCTTATACAAATCTGAAACACAGAATTCTCACAGTTAGTCGCATTTCACACTCAAAACCAATTCATAATAAAATAAAAGTTTTAAATGCTATAAAAGCTTCTTTATTGACTCTTGTTAGTAAACAATGTTTACGCTTAGACAATAGTTGGTAACAATTATTGTTAGTGATTTATATCTTTATTTTTTTCTTTACATTTAGTTTTAATTGTCATTTTATTTTATTAAGAAAAAAAAATCAACTCCATACAAGTAAATTATTCTTCGTAAAAATTCATTTAGTAAGTGTTAATTATGTCAATTAGTTTTATTTACAAATGTTATTTTAAGCTATTTTATTAAAAATTTCCGATTGTTTGAATTGGTAAGTAAATTTATTTAAAGATTATAAGATGTTATTTTTTATTAGCACATGACATTTTTGAAACATCGGGTAAAAAGATTTAAGAGAATCCAAAATATGCTTACGCTTAAGCATATTTTTTATAAGTTATTTTAATTTTTTCGAAAACGTATTATGTTCGTATAGTTGATAAAGTAGAAGGCAATAATAATAATTTTTTAAGATATTATTATTGCTTTGTTATTTTTAGTATCTGAAAAGTAAGAGTTAATTAAACAATAAAATACAAAATTTTGAATTATAATTTATTAAATAAACTACACAGTAAGAAACAAAAGAAGGAAGATAGAGAAACAAAAGGAGAAAGATAGAGAAACAAAAGGAGAAAGATAGAGAGAAAACGTGTACGCGATGTAACACATCTAAACGCTTTTCTAAAAAGAATTTTTACTTTTTTAAAACTTTTTTTAATTTTATGTTCTTTTATTCTGATATGGAGGCTTATGTGATGCTACGCAATGACTTCATGAACTCATGAATTTATTTTGTTACAAAAACAATGTTTATGTTTTGCAACAAAATTATTTCATGAATTAAAATTTTACAATTTTAAAGATGTTTATTAAACAAATTTGAAATGAGCAAAAAAGTTCTCGGTATCGGATATGCTTAAAAACAGTTAGATTGTCAAAAAGTGGTTTGATATAAATGACCTTTGTTGATGTTCTTAACATAAATTTTATTCTAAAATGATTTTAAATTTTAATTAGTTTTATTTTAATTTTTTTTTGTCGAAAAGGTTAAATTTGAAAAAAAGAGTATTTATAGTTTAAACGCTAAAACACAAACAAAGGTAAAAACCCTAAAAAAAGAAAAGAAAAGGAAAATCTTAAGGTACCCCCTCCAACACACCACACACAGACATTTGACACCTACTCGCGCCGTAAGGAAACATCAATCAATAAAAAGTATCAGTACACGAATGTGCTAATTAATTTGCATTAGTATATGTGTTGTATGTAATATTTTTTAATGTTTAATTTTTAAATATCATAAAAAATAAAGATTTACAAAAGTTTATTCAGGTACTGATAAAAAAAAAAGATCTCGTTTGACTTGATCTATTTTATTATCGTTTTTACTGATCGTGTCTAACAAGACAACTGTAGCAAGATGACAAAGGTATCATTTTGCAACGAAATGAAAGCAAATTGTTTACCAATATAAAAAATATGTTAGAGGCTGCCCATTAATTACGTCAGCAAATTTTAAGGGAGGGAAGATCTGAAAATTTTTAAAAGTTGTTGACAAAGGGAAGATAAGAGATCAAGAAAAGTTGACGTTAGCGATGTTATGCCAATTGCAACAGTTGAAAATTTCTTATTTTCTTTTTTTTTTTTTTTTTTTCTTTTTTTTTTTTCTTTTCCAGAATAATATGTACAAGGTAAATTTACATTGAATATATTACTGTTAGGACTTCCAGAAGATCATACGATCTTATCATGAAACCCTTTACAATCTATATCACGAGTTAAAATAGAAAAATAACAAAAATCAATTTCTAAATATCAGTAACATGTAAAACAAAATGCTATAATATAAACTTATAAAAACTCAGATTCTTGCTTCTAAAGCATCTACTTCATATGAGCTGAAAAGTTTTACTTGCAGTAGATTAAAAATTCTTTTGAAAAATTTCTGAACTTTTTTTCTGCATAATCTTGAAGTAAATGACTTCAAGCTTCTTATAAATAGAAATAACGCCAAGTTTTAATGACTGCAGAATGTTTGATGAATGAGCTGGTAAGCAAATTAACAAAATATTGTTTTTGATGCAACCATGTGCGCCCCCAGGATTTTTTGATGTTTCATATAGAACACTTTCACACATTGTGCAAATTTTAAACTTAAGTATGTTTATACCTATGCCAAATGTAGAGGTCATGCAAAAATTTGGGATGGCGGAGGGCTGGGAGCAAAAAACCCCAAAAACGTCTACCCCTGCCCAAACGTGAGGGCACTAATACAGCGAAATTTTCAACTTTACTATCGTAAACTAAATTTAACTTATCGACAGATTTTAAATTTCTTAGAAAAATATTTTAAATTACATAAGTTATGACCATGCAAAATTTACATCCCCATTTTTTTTTTTTTTTTGGGGGGGGGGGGGGTGGTAGTGGGTGGTCTGAAAATTTGCATGGTCATAACTTTTCTAATTTGCAATGTTTTTCTACGAAATTTAAAATCTGTCGATAAATTTAAATTTAGTCTACAATAGTAAAGTTAAAAATTTCACTAAACTAGTGCCCTTACGTTTGGAGGGGGGGGGGGACGTTTTAGGGCTTTTTTTTGTTCCCAGGCCTCCGCAATCCCAAATTTTTGCAAGTCCTCCTCATTTGGCATAGGTATAAACATATTTAAGTTTGGAGTTTGTACAATGTGTAAAAGTGTCCTTTCTGAAACATCAAAAAATCCTGCGAACGCCCATGGATGCAACTAAGTTAAACTCGAATGGTGACGCGTCGTGTCAATATTCATAAAATATGAATACATACAGTTTGATATTTGTAATTAAATTTATTTAATCAATCAAGTAATTGATTAAAATAAAAATTAAAAAAATAACTTATAATTTTTTAATGCCCGGAATGTATATGCTGCACAAACCGCCTATCTTTTATTGGAATAAAAAACCGTAGTATTTTTTATCTGAAAGCAGTATTTGTTGCATACACACGTGTATATAACGTCGTCTAGACCACACCAGCATCTTTAATGTAATTTCAGAATGTATATTTTATTTTTTTTATTGCGGGTAAAGGTTAAATAGATTTATTCAGTGGTTCAATGGTTGTTTAGCTCCACGACTACAAATTACGTGTTGCTTGCGTTAATCACCAGAGAAGCTAATTTCATAAAAATTCCACAATTGATATGTAGTGTGTTTGAAATACTTTGCCCTTTACTGTTATTTTAAAAGAAGCGATTCTGAGTGATGAAACATTAACAACGGCTTTAATGTTTGACTTATGACTCCATTGGTTGATGAAAAGCAATGAAAATCAGATGAAGTTAACTTTGGTGTTGCAAATAGTTGATAACTAGCGTGATAACGTCATTGTAAGTTTTACCAAAGTTCAAGTTGACTAATCAAATCGATAACTCTGATTTTTTTCGAGCTTTGTTAATTGAAAACTGAGAGAGTGTGCTATAGAACATGTTTGCGCTATCGGCTAGGAAAAAAAAAACGTGAACTTGCTAATTAATTGCTCTTCCGCGATTCTTCTGATAAAAATGTTAGGTTTTCTTAGAGGACCTTAATAACGAAATATTAATAATAATAAAATACCAACTTTGCACTTTGGCCAATGCATGCACGACTTACTCTTCGTTGTATAGGTTTCTAATTATTTTTTGCATGCAATTTTCGGTGACATATTTTATATTAGAATTGGTTTGATTCTAATTAATACTATGGAATACGGTATTTGCGCACTTTATTTAACCCTTTATTTATATCAAATTGAAAAAAAAGTTATACTTTTTTTTTCTGTGCACAGAAAAAATTATATATTCAAATAGTTAGTGTATTCAAAAAATACAAAGCAACTTTAACTTTACTGCCTATATCTAAGAAATCTTTAAGTTTGCTTATATTACCCTAATCTAACCTATACTTTTTTTGAAAAAACCCACGTGGGTTTTTTCAAAAAAAGTATAGGGTAGATTTGGGTAATATAATTTTTTAAATCGAATTTATGTGGTGATAACAGGAATCAGTATAATTAGCGTAAATTTATATGCTGTAATTAGCGGCTATCATCTAACTAAAACGCTGTTAAATTTTTTGCGTTGTTAAAATAATATCATCATGCATGAATAAATGTGTGGCCCGAAATTTTGGTGCTAAAATAATGAAATTAATTTTTTCATAAAAAAAAAATATGTTGGCTAAAAATCCAATCCATTTTTGTTTGAAAAACAAAGCATAGAAACATTTACATTTGACTTTATTTGAAGACGCCATTTTAGTGTAATGCGAGCATGCTTAAATTACCCATCGTTTTTCATTGAAATTACCTGGTTAAAAATTAAAGTAGCAGTGGTTTTAATTGCTTTTTGAATAAAAACAAAACTTAGTAAAAAATTTTAATATTTCACCAATACTAAATATTTTTCTGTAATTTAAAATTAAAAATTTTGAGTTTTTATAGTTCAAAGGTTTCATTAAATAAAATTGAAAAAATAACGAACTAATTATTTTTTTGTAGAAAACATAGTAGTATAGTGTTTCATCAAAAAGTTGCTTAAAATTTGATCTATTAATGATAAGTTTTGATAATAACGAATCATTATATTCCAAAAATTTGTTTTTATTGTCAAGTTGGTATTTATTTACTTAATGTTATTTTTTTTGAGTTAATTTAAAGTGCTTATACTACTGAATGGTCTGGGTAATATGAGCAATTCAGCTACTTTTTTAAAACCTATGTATTTAGGAATAAAATTCAGGTGTCCAAATACATAAGTGGATCATGAGTAGGGATTCCTAAAAATTACCTATTCGCAAAAATTTTGTATCCAGCATAATTCTTTTTGAAAATATTTCAATTTTCGCTTAAGGTACTCATATTACCCTAATCTAGCCTACATAAAATGTCAATATGTTGCTCATAAAGATTTGTCCATTTTTTGTGAAAAGTTTATTTTGCAAAATTGAATTTTGTATTTTCATTAACTGTTCTGCTTTAACTTGTGTGTAGCTATTATTAAGCGCGTTTAAGAAGAACAAAAAATATTAGTGTTAAAGACAGAATAAGTCGAGTTAGAAAGATAGCATAAAGATAAAGGACAGATTTTGCAATGAATGTTTGAGTGTGCAAAGTTATAAGATTAATTGGTTACAAATAAATAATGTATTTGATTCTTAAATTTTTTAGTTTGGTATTGTGATTATCCTCCTCAGGCTAATATCCATATAGAGGCCACATACCAAGGCCCGCAAAAACAAGTTCAGCTCAAAAAAGCATCATAACCCGCTTTGACGGACCAAGAGTTAGTAGAATGAAGCATAGTTGATATGAAAGTCAACCACTACAATAAAAAGTGGTTGTAGAGAGATAATATATAGAAATTGAACATATATTGCACTAGTTATTAGAATGTGCAATTATACATTAGTCAGTTGCAACCAATTGATGTATTTATTCTAATGTATTTTAGTTTTGATTGATTCTTTTGTATTTTATTTTTAACCTAGATTTTTGCTACATTTATATTTCAGTATATAGTAGTTCTATATACTAAATAGTGCTACAAAAATATCTGTGGTGCTTACTTTTTATGAACAATGTAGTTTTAACTTTTTGAGCAGCTGTAGCGCCATGGTTACCGCGGTTACATCAGAAACTAGAGATCCGTAGTTCAACGCTACCTCTGAGCAAGTTTTATAACATCGATAAGGAAAGAGGCGTGAACTTTCTTTTGGAGCACCTAAAATGAACTGAAAAGAAAAAGAAAAAATTCAAGTACTAACATGATACAAACCGTATCTGTTATCTGTATTGGGTCAACTAACTTGAAATGCGGATGGCCCAACGATATAACGATGGACAACTAAGAAAATATTTCAAAATGTTGTTAAGATCGTTCGATAAATGTAAGTTTACTATTAATAAAGAATAGTAAGAAGTTTATTTGTGGTATATTTTTGTGACGGATACCTTCCATACTACATTGCAAATGTCGTAAAATGTAACCGGCTAGACGTCAAAGACATCTGGCCGGTTATGATTTTTAGTTTAATTTGACTCTAATGGTGAGAACCCTAACTTACGAAGGTACGTAGTAGCACATTGAATTACACTGGGCATTTCTTATTTAATAAGGAGAGGGTAATCTTGTTTATAGTTATTTATTATAGGTTATAAAATAGATCTTAGTGACGTACTAAACCAACATTGATAAATATAATATAAAACTTAGTTGCTCCGTAATAGTAAAACAAAAAAAAAAAAGTTGCAACTTACCCCGCACCGGGGCAAGTTCTAACAGTGAACAGGGTAAGTTGCAACACAATACTTTGAACGTATAGACCTCGCAGAGTTCAACGAAATATTACAAGTTAATTTCTAGTTTCTATTTGGCAACAGAAAATTTATAACTACATTAAAGGAAATTAGTATTTTCATCAATCTGCAATACTTTTATTATGAGAGAACTCACATACACCTGACTTATTTAGTAAACTGATAATTATATTAAAAGATTTTAGAGACAGAAGAAATTAAACAAGAAGTACTCCCTGGCCTCCCCCCTCCCCCGGTGTCGTCGGCCTTGCTCTATGAAAAGATTGAGGTGATATTGCATCATCCATATTTTCTTTGAGTAAAACAGACGGGGGAAATAAAAACAGATGGGGGTCTGTTTTTATTTAAACTAGTTTATAATTTTAACTCCAAAGTGTTTCTGAAAAAAAAGTATTCTCTTAGTCATTAAACAATAAATTTGTTTAGAAAAATGCTAGAGAAGGTTTTAGGATATTTAAGTTCTGTTTTTAGAATATAAAAACGTAATAACAATTTATTTAAAAAAAAAATTAAAATGTTAAAAAATAAAACAAATGTTAAAATAAAATTTCATAAAAACAAACAAAAATCTAACTTAAACCTAAGTTATCTATAACAACAAAATTTCCTTTCAATAAACATTCATTAAAAAAGGAACAAGCATCAAAGAAACAAAAGAATTAATTATATTTTAATTCAAAAATTAGATTTCTTTAAGGTTTTTTGTTATTGATGTTGAAATATTAGGAGAGAAAAATCAGCGTTAAAAAAACGTCGATTATTTGAGAGATAACGAGAAAAGTGCGCAAAATCAATAAAACTCGCATTTATTTTATGATTCAACTTACCGCAAGCAACTTGTTGCAACTTATGGTAGAAAGGGGCATATCGGGACAAAGGGGCATAACGGGAAAGTTATGCTTGAAGTCTTACTTCTCAGCTAAAAAAAATTTTTTTTAAAAAATATTTTAAATTATTGTGCTTCATTATTGTAAAAAAAAAAATAATTTTAAAAATACCAAAATGCATCAGTAAGTTTGCAAAAAAAAATTTAGGCGATAGATAGCCTTCATTTTTCATCATTTTTAAAGCTTTACAATTGACGAATAATTGCTGCTTTTTAACTGTCCCGTTTTTCCACACCCACATGCAAAATGTGGGTGTGGCAAAACGGGATTATAGACGTATCAAAACGTATTATACACGTATCAACCACGTCTTGTGTTTACTGAGATATTCTGTTTAAATTGATATGAAACTTATTTAATTATGATTTTGTACTTTTTAAATTCTAGGAAATTCATAGGAAAATGCACGTCGTTTTTACTTTACCAATGAGAGCTAAGCTGTTCACATCTAATTTTAAAGAAAATACCAAATACTGCTAAAATCCACCAAGAATGTAGGAAAACTGTGTCTTTTCTTTGTTTCAGTAAATGTCAACGAAAGCTAAAAGAAAGAATGAATATGCTGAAAGAAAAAATCAATTTAAATAAAAATTAATGATTACAAAGTTTTAATTTGTGAAAAATGTCTCTTTTGTTTGAGAAGGAAGGAAAGTGGAGCAGCAAGAACATATTTTTCAACAGTAGAAAAAATAATACTCAGATTATTTTTTTAATTATTGGCAGAAGATTGTCGCAGCAAAAAATCCTTTTGCATCAAAAGGAGTTTTAGCTCTTGTTGTTTCAAATAAAGCACTTTCTCTACATGGAATAGTTTGATTGAGTCAACCTTATGGTAGAAGGATGCTTCCATTAACACAAGGAATTAATTTAGTTTTTTATAATTTAAATTAATGATAGATTAAACTTTTAACATTTTGTATTTATTATAGGTTCGTTATCAGCTATACAATTTTTCCCTTTAAATTCAGCAATAACTGTAAAAGGCATTTCTCAAGTTCAAGCAAACACAGGGTTTTAAAACAACGGCATCAAGAGGTTAGCAGCTACTACTTATCAGTCAACTTCACAACAGATTGTTGAGAAAAATTACGTCATAAAACTTGATGAATTCAGCAAGCAGCTTGTACATAATTTCACAAGTTAATCAATTCAAGATAACGCTGGATGTGTTAGGACTGTCATACATTGCAAGAACATTCATGAGCGTTAAAATGAAATTATTGCCATGGGAAGAACGTCAAAAATTACATTGTGAAGATTGAAATTGACGGAGGATGGGGTTAGCGGAGGATGGGGGTCCTGAAAGTTAGCCTCGGAATTATTGAATTAGATCTTGAATCTAGCATTCCCCTAGCAAAACTTAATTACAGAAGCAAGGTTTTTGAAGACACTGGTGTCAAACGAAAACTTATTATAGCTGTGTCTGAGGAGCTCCAAAAAATTATACTAACATTTAGTATTTGAGTTGATTTTTTTGAAAGTAAGTATTTGAGTTGATTTTTTTGAATAACCAGGAATTTTTCCTGTCCTGTGATCTAAAACTTGCAAATATCATTTGTGGGTTTCAAGCACACTCAAGTGTACATTTCTGCATCTAGTGTGAGTCTGATTCATTGGAACTTTTAAATCAAGGGAAACTAAGGACTTTTAAATCTCTGGAAAAAAATGTCTCACTTCAAATCAGCATGTTCCAATATCAGAAAAGCTCGTGACTACAAAACTATTGTTCATTTCAATATTCAAACTACCTGGAGACACTTCGGTTTTGAAATTCCTTCCTTTCATGGAACTGCATTTCCTAATTGGAGTTTTTAATCATTGTTTTGCTGCGCTACTTCAAGTTTTAACTCAAACAACTACTTAGGCTGATGCATTACCCATTAAATAATCACCTAACCATGGCGGAAATTTTGCAAGAAATGGGTCCAGAAAGCTGCTACACAATATTGATATTCTTTAATCAATTGCGGAGAAACACTCATGCTTTGCAATCATCCCATAGATACTTTTCGAAAATTCAATGCAGTAGTGTCTGGCAAAGACACTACATTGGCAAAGGTACAAAAAGTTCAATTAATTACTATAAGGCTTTTTTTTTGTTGGGCAATGCGATATGGCATTTTGTATGATGCTTCTAAATAGGTTATTGTGTTGGAGTAGAACCGGCTATCTCAAGTTAAGCTTTTTTGGCTCAAAACTATTGAATGTGTTTGCTGGGTGGACAGATTTAGATGCTTTTATAATTTCGCTAGCTTCGAACTGTCAATAGCACACATAAAAAGCTCTATGTCTTTTGTGTCCTGTCTTTTTTTTTTTTTTGATTTTTAAGGTGCTCTAAGAAGACCAATCTGTCTTTTCACACAAAACACCACGGAGGAGCAAATAAACATTAAGTTCACGTACCCTTCCTTACCAATGCTGTTTATTAGCATAGAGTCGGCGTCCAACTACGAACCTATCATCACTACGCCTACAGCTTCTCGTAAATCTCGTTCAGAAACAAAAGTGAAAACGTAGGTGACATAGAGTCATTATAATTTTATTATTTTTTTGACATTTTTAACAAACCGTAACAATGAAAAAACTTTTTTTTTAGAAAAACACACTTCAACTAATGAAAAAATAAACATGGCCTTTCTTTGAAAAAACAAACATTGTCTTCGGTCTGCATATATCTTGCTATTAACTATCAATTAAAATTATAAGTATTTTTTAAAAAGAACTAAAATTCCACGCCGTTTTCTAAATATGTGACTGGTACAAAACACATCCCGTGGACCTCACGGTAAAAAAAAAAATTATGATCATGTCGAGGGTATCCAAGGTTTCACGGCATAATCTTTGAACTTTGGCAACTCGCGCCCTACTGAGCAATGTCTTTTATCATTCATTAGTCACGCATAAAAAAAAAAATAAAAAAAAAAAAACCTTTTGAAGGCGTGCAAGTTAAAAAAACACAACGAAAACGAAAGTGTTTATAGAAGTTTGAAAGGTTACTAAAGGTTGCAATGCTAATACGCTTTTGCATTTAAATTTGTTTTACTAAATGTTATGTAACTTATATAATTAAAAATCAAGTAATTATGAAGTATTAGCATTTCAAATCAATTAATTTTTAAACCTTATACAAACTATTTACTTTGAAAAGTAAAAGATCCTTTGTAAGACTGATTCAAATGTGACTAATAAAGTTTCAGGTTACTCATAATTTTATTTATTTAGTTATTATTATTATTAGTTTTTTTTACACAAAAGTGTTTGTTTAATATAATATATTTTGTTATATTGTATAATATAAGTGTTATATATTCAGTGGCCTAGTAACGTCATTGGGTTAATAAAGTCAAAATTTATATTTGAATTTTTTTTTATATTTACAAAAATAATATTAAAAATCACAAGATATCGTGTATATTGCAACACTAATGAAATAAAACAGTCTGAAGGATTAAAGAGAAAAAAAACAAACAACAACAACAAAAAAAAAAAACACAGAAATATTTAGCTATAAAGCAACTACAATAAAAACCTCAGAAAAAAAAACAACAGATAAAAGATCAATATTTGTCTATGTAAATATTAAAATATGTTTATGTAGTCACCTTAAAACTTTATTTCGGTTTTTCAGAAGTTAATCATAATATCTCACTTTGAAAATTGATTATACTGCATTGTGACCAAGAATGAATAAAAAATAAGTTTCAGGCAACAATTTTTGGAAAAATAAATGCCATTTAATTGCTTCAAAAAATATGTCAATTAAATATTTGTTTAATTTTTGTTTGGTTTTTTTAGCTGCAACTTTTCGAGGTAAAAAGTTAGTATAGTGTTTATTATTTTTCTAATTAAGGTATTTGAATAATTGTTGCCAATCAATTTAATTTTAAATAACTTGATATAACCTATATTGATTAAACTGAAAATAAGATTCTTATGCAATACACAATACACAAGTATTTATAAAAAAAAAGTTTTTATTTTATTTAAAAGTATATAGTTTTTTAATTTTCTTTTAGTTAATTTCTGTTTAGCTTATTTTATTTTTTTATCATTCTCACATACATTTATTCACATTCACATACATTTGTTCTTTTTTTTTTTTTTTGTAATTTTTTATAATAATTTTTTTTTTTATATAATTTTTGGATTGCTGTTAACAAGTTGTTTACAATGTATTTTACCTCTCAATTATTTTTCTAGCATTCAACAGTTCTATGTATTTAAAAAAATTGTTTATAATAATTTTTTATTGTGTAAATAATTTTCTTAAAAACCATCAAAATATAAAATAAGTAAATAAATAAATGAACAAATAAAAAAGGGGCGTGTCTAGGGGGATGTCTGCTATGTCGTTGGATGTACCCAAAAAAATTGAATAAAAGTTTTTCAACTTGATTATATTGTCTTGATTAAAAGTCTTACTATACGTAACTATTAAAACCAAACTACAGCTGAAACTAAACAAATTATGCACGGTTAATTATCTGAAACGGTTAGAAAAAAATTAAAAACCGGAAAACAAAATAGTATATCGGTTTCATAATTTTGCGATTGTTAAAAAATAATAAATACAATATTTTGATGGAGGTTAAACTAACTTTTGAGTTAAATAACTTAATTAAAAACTTGAATTGACATACATTATTTTATTTTGTTATATAGAACTTTATTTTTTAAATATTTTTTTTTATTAGTTTAAACAAAATCAAAATGATTATTTTAGTTAGAAGAAACTTTGGACTTAAGTATTTTAGTTAAGTTAATTATTTTAGTTAGAAGAAATTTTGGACACCCTAAATAGAGTTTTTATTAAGTTTAATTGTCTAACTATCACCAGGATGTAAAATTAGTCAGTAACAACAAGTATATATTAAAATATATTAATGGACATCGTTTTATTACACTAGACTGTGTATCATTTTAATAACTTGCATTTTAAGTAATAAAAAAGGAGAGAAAAGGTTTCAAATATGGAAAATAAAATTCGGACTTCCCTTTCGCCATACACCCTGCCTAATTTGTGTTTTATTAAATTAATTTATTTTATTAAACATATAACATGGCAGATGATCAGTTCAAAATGTTGTTTAATTCATAAGTTTATATAGCATTCTTTAAATTTAGGCGACCAAATATTATATTAATTGTGTAAAATTTTTGATATCACAATATCCTTTGAATACAAGAAAGGAAGAAAGAGGGTTATTACAAGTAGAAGCTGTTTATAGTTGCATAGATAAAAACTAGTATTTGTACCTTGGTTTTCTTTGATAATCAAGAAGAAGATTTTAGACTTATAAAGTATAAATTTTAATTAGCCATATTGTTTATCCTTTATGATAATCATGATAATCGTAATATGAACTGATGAATCACATAAGAAAACTTGTTTTTTTAGTATTTTAATAAAAGCTATTACTAATTTTTCTTTGGATGTTATAAAATGTGAAATTGTGGCATGGATACTTTACAAAAGTTTTTTATACCTATGGTTTTCTGTCTCAAAGAATGTCATTAATGGTGCAGCCTCTGCTACTGCTTTTTCTACTGAAGTTAATGACAAATTTTGATTTTATTATTGTACTGAGTATAACAAGACATGTTTTTAATGTAATTTTTTTAATTACACGATTGTACAAGCACATAATAATGATATTTTTTTATAGTTTAATTCTTATTCAAGCATTAAAAGATTTTGTCTCTATAGTTAGAAATATGATTAATCAATACTTCCAAATATGCTTTAAACAAGCCTAAAAAATGCATTTCAAATTATTTTAACTTGGTTATCACTGTTTCTTTACTAGACTATCTGATTACTGAGTTTAACACAATGTTTAATTGATACAATTTTGAAGTTTTATAAAGCACCTGTGTTTCAATTTCTTCTTTCTAATATTCAGTTTCTTCTAAAAACAATTGCAGAAATTCAATGTTTTGTTATACTAGTTGGGAACACCAAATCATATGTTTTAGTGTCTTTTGTTTAACCAAAGGCTTTAATAGGTTTATTTATTATTTCTAAACCAAAGGCTTTATTACTTGAATTTGATCTGTGGAAGTTTAGTTGAATTTCGTTTAACTGCCTGAATTTCAAAAATGAACTTTAATCTAATAATACTGAAACATTACAAGCAACAAACCTTTTCTTTACTGAGGCGCCTTAAAGGTTATAAGAGAATAGTAAGTAGACATTGCAAAGCAAAACGGTAGATAAAATCTAAATGTTTTCGTTTAGCTTTTAGTCTATAGATGATAACAAAGTTTTTAACAAGTTTGTTATAAATACTTATAAGTTGTAATATATGATAAAAGTATAACTTCAAAAAATGTCTAAGTTGCTTTTTGTTAAACAGCTATTTTCACAGCCAGACATCTTTGTAAAAGCATTTAGCATTGTACAGTTATTGCAATAAGTTTTTTGAAATTTATTTATAAAGTTATTTAAAAAAAATTAACTCAGCAAAATCTTGTAAATTGTTTTCACAAATCTTGTAAAAAAATTTAACATGTTTATAATATATATTACGACAACTGAGTATTTAAAAAAAAAAAGTTTTTAGTTTGCAAAAATCATATTATGAGCTTTAGTGACCATTTTATCAATGTTACTAGTCATTTAAAGAATTATTGAAACATTTTTATATAACGCACTTAATCCGGTCAAATTCTGGTCCCCCTGCCCCTCCCTAAAAAAAAAAGAAGGTAGAAGGGAACATTATTTTTTGGACTTACCCAAAAAATTACCTGTAAATGCCTCTGGCCTCTCAATTACTTTTCTAACATTCAACAGTTCTATGTATTTTAAAAAATTGTTTATAATAATTTTTTATTGTGTAAATAATTTTCTTAAAAACCATCAAAATACAAAATAAGTAAATAAATTAATGAACAAATAAAAAATGAAAAAATGAAATATTTATTTTTAGTAAGCTATTGTGGTAACTGTACTGATGGTTGGTTAGAGAATGGAAACTATTGTTACCTTTTCCATAGTATAACAGCAACATTACAGGGACAAAGCTGGTATGATTCCCTTTTATCATGTCAGCGTTATGGAGGGAATTTATTAAGTGTGGCTGATAATACAGAAAATACATTCATTTCTGATCAGTTTAAAGATACAACAATTAAAAATCAGCATTATTGGATTGGTATGATTTTTGTTTTTGTTTTTAAATTTAAGCATAAATATATTAAATATATTTATATTTTTAAATAAATGTCTTGTTTCTTAATTTAAAAAAAGGACTAAATGACATTCAGAAAGAGGGAATTTTTGTGTGGTCGGATAATTCAACTTCTAAATTTCGATTCTGGAACTATCGTTCTGGTGAACCTAACAACTGGAACAATAATGAAGACTGTGTTGAAGCAACTTATGATGGCCGATGGAATGATAATTCATGTGATCGACTATTTGGATTTATTTGTAAAGTCAAAATAGGTAAAAAATTTTTTAGCTTAAATAAAAAACAAAACAGCTAATGACATAATTAAAATAATATTCTCTTGTAAAATACATATTATTGTTTTACTCAAGAACTTTCAAATAGAAAGTGTATTCAATTATTTAAACCTTTAGGTGTGACAACACTAGCACCGCCAACTTTGCCTCCATTTCCCAACAATACAGATAGTAAGTATTTTAATGTTTAAGCTTATAAGCAAAGCTCACACAAAAATACTAATTTGTAACATATACATACATTTTTTAAAAAATATATTCAGATTTTTAATTTTTTTTGCTTTCAATTAGTTCAAAAAATATTTAGTTTATGGTTAGTAACACTGTCTGATTTGGTTTATTATTAAAATTTTATCAATATTTTCATCACTTTTAAACATTTATGTAAACATAAGTCATCTGAAAATTACTTTTTGAAGCTACTGAACATTTAATTTAAGATATTAAAAATAATTAAATAGCATTAATTTTCTCTGATGTTGATGTTTTGCATTAGAAAAGTCTTCTAAATCTGGTATAAATTCTTCTTTTTCTGCAACAAACATGCTTTTTTTAAGCAAATAAGAGTAATATAAGCCGGTAATATCTCCGATATTTTTAGGAATTTGTAAAACTTGAGGATTTTGCATAAATATGATTTTTACAAATGCTTTAAATGTCAGATCAACCAGCCAACATTGTTGATAATTGGTATTGATAATGTTGATTACTGACAAAATTTTACCACTTAAAAAAAAATTATTATCCAAGTTAAATGATAACAGTCTGTTTTATTTGTTTGTTAAAATATCTCTAAAAGTTTAAAAGCTTTTGTATAAATTTGGTAATATTGGTGTTTGTTTGAAATACATAGGATTTTAGTTAGGTCTTGTTAATTGTTTTTTGACAGAATTTTTCCAAATTATTTTTTTGTCTTTTTATTTTGAATTTAATAAAAGTTTGAAAAAATAAAATATTGTCTTAAGTGAACTGATATTATATCAAAAAACATTAAATGTAAGGTTGTTTAAAATTTTTATGTTGTCCTCACAGGGGCTATTCTAGACCGTTTTCGACAGTGTCAATGGTATTTGGGTGCCCATTTGGGTGCCGCCCAAATTAAAATTCGAGGCCTTTTTTTTTTCTTTTTTTTTTTTTTTTTTTTATGTTTTGGGCGGCTGCTGCTACATCGACTAAGGGCTTGGGTTATAGCAATAACGATTTTTTTCATTATTCTTTGTTTTCTTTTTTTATAAAAACTAATAAAAAAAATTAAAATAAAGAAATGCAACTTTTTTTTATGGAACTTTAATGATTCATGCCATTAGACATTCATTGTTCAAAAATGTATAATAAAAACTATTATATAAATAGAAATTTAGCTATGCAACAGCATCTGACATAAAATATATGTGAAATGAAATCTTTTACTAATCACCAGTTTTAAAGTGTGAAAAGCAGGAATTTTTGCCCATTCCTATACAAGGAATTGATTAAGTAATTTATTAAGCAAAAAACTATTAAGTAAGGATTCATGATCATAAGTCATTTAAAATAAAAGTAAATATTTTTCATCATATTTTTAACGAAAACACCTTTGTGGATAGATTGTATGATTAACATTTTTTAATTTTCCTTCACTTGATTACAGGCATTGTACCTGCATCTTTGTGTTTCTGAATTTTTAAAAAACTTTCGTACTGTTTTTTTGCCTATGAAGGATTTTCAAAACTAAGCTTTAACAGATTTCAACTTTTTTCAGCAAATTTTTTCCACCTATTTTTCAGTAAGACTGAGATTTGCTAATGTTATATTTTTGTGTATAACATTTTTGGAATTGATTTTAGTTAATTAGAGGAAATGTGGTTTTCTTAATGCAGTTGCGTTAACTCTAACAGAAAGTTTGTTGTGAAGACTTTGTTGATTGTGTGAACTAATAATGGTTAGCTATTATTTGGCATACAGCTATAACTCACTTTAATTGTACTTTTGTTGAGAATTTTATGGAATATTCGATAATCCATTTTTTGATAAAACAAAATATTATCTTTTTTCTTACAACCAGAAGGAAATCATAAACATAAACAATAAACAAGTCATTAAATAATAATCATAAGAAAGAAAGTTTAGTATTTAAAGTAATAAAGTTTCAAATAATTTGATTATATTTGCTAAAAGTAAAAATTGATTTTTATTTTTGTTAAATGTTAGTTTATTTTTTCTTACTCTTTGTAACAATCTTTTATTGTTACGTTTTGTAGCCTTAAGTTACAGTTAAGTTGTTACATTTTGTAGCCTTAAGTTACAAAGTGTAACCACAACTGTGAAAACATTTGTTAAATGTTAGTTTGTTTTTCATACTCTTTGTAGCAATCTTTTGTTGTTTTATAGACTTAAGTTACAATTAAATTGTTACATTTTTTAGCCTTAAGTTAAGTGTAACCACAAAGTTACAATGTGTTCTGTCAAACATTTGAAAAAATAAATTTGAATATAAGACAACTTTAATACTGTGGTTAGAAAGAAATAATTAAAAATTAAAATAATTTAAAACATATTTATAACTATTTAAAGCATACTTATAAAGATAGCCAGGCTTTTTCTGTCAAGATGTAATGATATGTCAAGAGCAATAACCTTTATCTCACTGCTATCATTTAATGTTTTTGTTTCTTCTATGGATCTATGTGATCTTAAATAAATTTATAAGATGTTTTTTTAAAAATTAGAATCACAGATATCATTTTTGAGCAGGCAACAAGTTAAAGCACTTGTTAAATAGTTAAGAGACTAAAGGAAAATTTTTTAAAGAATGTGTCAGGGACAGTTATCCAAACCACAAGCAGTTTCTTTGGAAAGTGTTCTGTCAGGAAGTTACTATAGTTTAGTTGTTAGGTTCAAGAAATACTTTAGAGGATAACTTCTTTGCAATTAATTCTGCCTTATTCTTAGGAGGGGCAAATAGATCATCAAGACCCACGTATGAGAGATAAAAAATTAGACTTTTTTATTATTTGACGTTACTAAAAATTTTCCAAAAGTCTCTAGAACCTTACTTCTTAGCTAAAGTACAAGATTTAGTAATCTTGTACTTTTTATAGAGTAATGAACATTAGCATAAAATGATATTTTTGCATGGATTTAGAATGATAAAAAGAAGTTTGCATTTCAGAGAGTTGTAACTGTTGTAAGTCAAAAGAAATAATTACAATTAAAAATAGCAGATGTATCTGCCCAGAATAATTTTTTTTAATTGAGACACTAACTCCAGCCTTCATTTAACTAATAGCTTAAGGAATGGCGTACTGTATATTTACATTTTGAATTTTCAATCTGTATTTAAAATACAAATAAAAATTAATTCCTTTCATTAACTTTTTAACTAACTTATAATTTTTAATTTTAAATATGAAAATGTTAATAACAAATTATTTTATAGAACCTTCAACCTGTGAAGCTGGTTGGAAACCTTGGGGTACATCCTGCTATGAAATAGTAAATGATTCACCTAAATCTTGGTCTGATGCTCGATCAGATTGCTTACGAAGATTTGGAGATTTGCTTATTATAGACAGCAAAGATGAACAAAGTTTTATTACAAATCTAATTTCATCTTCAGATGGAGTAAATTTTTAATTTTAATTTTGCTTACTACACACAATTTTATTTAAAATAATATATTTATTTTTATTAATTTTTTTATTTTGTTTTTCCATTTTTTTAATTTTTATTTATCTTAGACTATATACATTTCCTATAAAGATTAAACTGTGTGTATAATTCTGGGATTATCTTTATCCGGGTATTTTCAGAATTCTGGATATTTCTTGAAACCTTTTTTCCAGATTCCATGTATACAAATAGTTATCTTAAAATACAAGTTGAAATTTTTTTTGTAACTTGTCGTCAAATAATTAAAACAGTAAAAGGTATCGTTCATCAGTTGCTCTACATTTCATCTGAAAATCTAGCGTAATTTAATTTAATAATTTTTTTATATAAATAAATTTTTATATAAATTAATTTTTATATAAATTAATTTTTTATATAAGTAATTATTTATTATAATTTATAAATAAAAAAAACCTTACTTAAATAAGTATTGAAATACTTTTCTTTTATCTAACCCTCAGTAGATATTTGTAAACTCCATCGCGCGTTTCCTATTTCACTTAGTTGATGCACACTCCACTGTGGCTACGGCTATAACATTTTCAATTTTTTTTTACGCATTGCTGCAATTATTCTATGAAACTTTACAAAACAAAAAAACAAAAAAACAATAGTTAAAAAACAAAAAACGACTTTGAAATAAAACTTTGAAAGAAAAGGAATTGAAGTTAAAAAAAAAAAAATGTTCTCTAAGATGGCTTCGAATCAGTAACCTTGTCAGCGGGGCATCAATTGTCATTATTTTAACATCCACGGGACTATGCCACTGGTTTACCCTTACAAAAATTAAAAACATTAAAAATTTTTTGTGTCTAAATATGTATATTATTTGTTTATATTATGCACAAAACTTGTACGTGCATATAAATAATGAATTTCTTTTCAAACACAAGAGATATTCTTAGTTACACAAATTGCATTTGAATTTCTGGATTTTTTTCAGATATTTTTATGAAAAAATTCTCAGGATTTTCAAAATTTTCTCCTGGATAATCTCTGATAATTATACGTATGTGTATATATGTGTATATATGTGTATATATATATATATATTATATATATATATATATATATATATATATATATATATATATATATACACATATATATATATATATATATATATATATATATATACACATATATATATATATATATATATATATATATATATATATATATATATATATATATATATATATATATATATATATATATATATATATATATATATATATATATATATATATATATATATATATATATATATATATTGCTTATGTTTTATGAAAAAGCTTTTTTTGTTGTATTAGATGTTTGTCAGATAAAAATCAGTTTCTATAAATTAAAAAAAAAAAAAACTATGCAGACCTATTCTACATATCTAATTGATATTTAAAAAAATTTAGCTCTATTTATATTTTAATTTTTATCTAATATTTTTTTGTTTGTAAGGCATCAACTCTTAAATGAGTTTTATTCTGTTTTATTTTTTTTTTTAAAGTTAATTTTTAGATAATGCTAATCACTTTTTAGATAGTTACAAGCTTTTTTATAAATCTTTAAAAAAAATAGATATAAATACAAATATAAAAATATTAATAAATTTTTTTTTTTTTTTTGTTTTTTTTGTTATTCACCTCCTCAAGGCCGAGAAGGCCACTACAAACGAGGAGGCTACTTAATAGTGGTTATAACCCTCTCTCAACTCTATAACTCCGAAACACGAACCTTGACGAACAAGGCCGCTGCGCGGAGAAACAATTTGAGTGCGGTACTACCAGGGACGTGGTGGGGATCGAACTCGGAACCTCTCGCTTATGAAGCGAGTGTTTTACCACAACACCACTACCGCATATAATATAAATAAAAATGTATAAGTATATATATATACTTACATATTTATATATTACATACATACATATTTTTTTTTAAATTTTTTTATTTAATTTATCTCCTCAAGGCCGAGAAGGCCACTACAGACAAAGAGGCTACTTATTTGTGGTTATAACCCTCTCTCAACTCTATAACTCCGAAACATGAACCTTGATGAACAAGGCCGCTGCGCGGAGAAACGAGTTGAGCGCGGTACTACCAGGGACGTGGTGGGGATCGAACATATATATATATATATATATATATATATATATATATATATATATATATATATATATATATATATATATATATATATATATATATATATATATATATATATTTATATATATATATATACATACACACACACACATAGAAAAAATAACTTTTCATGGAACTATAAATTTCATACCTACATGGCAATCATCAGCCATGTACAATATAAAAAACAAACAAAAAAAACGTTAATAAAATTACAAAATACAGTGGAGCGACATTTGACATCTCTATGGAAACAAAACAAGCAAATGTCAAAGAAAAACTATATATAAATCAGCTAATCATAAAGTTATATGTATCATAAAACAAAAGAAGGAATTTATTTTTATGCCTACAATTTAAAACCAACTCGTTTCTTTTGTTTAACAGATTTTCCTCTGTATGCAGAGAAATTTTTGAAACAGCTTTTTCAAAAATTTCTTTGTTTAAAGGTGCAGTAGACATTCTTAGTTCAATTGTTCACTGTACACTTTTTAATATGCACGAAGAGTGCATATTAAAATGTCTACCACGAACAATTGTCTATCGGGTGGTAGAGAAAAAAATTTTTCTTTCCTTATCTTTTGCTCAGATTGATGAATTTGTAAATTGTTTTACAAGCATCCCAATTTACTTACCTTTGCTTCTTGGTTTGTATCTTGTCATTGATATAGCTTTTGCTCAGTTTTTTTTTCTCCTTTAAATTGTCCAAACTATGATCTCACTAAAACTTTAATCTTGTACTTCTTTTTGCCAGATTCACCTTGTTTAGGTCCATCCCAAGGGGGGTGTTTTGCCCCCTAGAAACTTAATTAGTTGGCAAATTTGGACACTGGTGTCAGCAAAATTAGATTTAGAGTTGACAATTGGCAAATGTTAGCCAATGAGGCCTTAGATCTTATTCAGCAAAAACTTTTTCTAGGCTTTACTCAGCAAAAAAAAGGTTTATCACCATCCTTAAAAATTACTTTGTACAGCCCTGACCTTGTCATTGCATATCATACCTCTATCATAAGGATGATTGAGGTTCTTTTTGAAATTTTTTTTGTAATGGTCCTTAGGCTGAAGTCATTTGTCTCTGCTAAAATTTGTGTGTCCTATTTAATCTCCAGGGTTGAGGCAGGCATAGAAGCTTTTATTCTTTCTCACTGGTCTAGTAATCATGTAGACCTCACCTCTAGTACAACTGCTAGTAATCACATAGAGTCAAACTCTAGTACAGTTATTATTTCTAAATGTAATCATTTAAAAATTTTTTTTTACTAGAATTACTCTCTTGAAAACAAAAAGTTTGTATGATCGCAAGAAATAGATGCAAAAAAGTAATGCTCAAGTACTCTTTAATACTCCTTAAAAAAGCCCGAGCACTCTTTAAAAATGCTCAAGTACTTTTAAAAAATGCTCAAGTAGTCTTTAATACTCTTTAAAAATGCTCAAGTACTCTTTAAAAATGCTCAAGTACTCTTTAATACTCCTTAAAAAAGCTCAATAACTCTTTAAAAATGCTCAAGTACTTTTTAAAAATGCTTAAGTAGCCTTTAATACTCTTTAAAAATGCTCAAGTACTTTTTAAAAATGCTCAAGTACTCTTTAATACTCTTTAAAAATGCTCAAGTACTCTTTAATACTCTTTAAAAAAGCTCAAGTACTCTTAAAAAATGCTCAAGTACTTTTTAAAAATGCTCAAGTAGTCTTTAATACTCTTTAAAAATGCTCAAGTACTCTTTAAAAATGCTCAAGTACTCTTTAATACTCTTTAAACTTCTTAATTGCTTAAGTCTTGTTTGTCTGCTGGAAAATGATATCATTTTTTTGATTCCAATTTTTAAAGACTCTAGAGATTACTCTACCCCCTCTAACTATAGTCCAGTCTTTTTTTCTCTAACTATAGTCCAGTCTTTTTTTCTCTAACTATTGTCCAGTCTTTTTTTCTCAAAGCTATTACTCAATCCTTGCTAATAATAGTAGAAGAGATTAAAATTGTTTTTACTAATTTTAATAGCAAAGTTTTTAATTTTAAAGTTATTACTTAATAAATTTGTGTATCTTATTTTGAGTCTAACTTATAACTTCTGACTATCATTATAGATTTAGTCTCCTTGTTTTTTTGCTGAATTGTTTACTTGAAGGTTTTTATATCGCATTAGAAGGATATGTTGAGGCTAAGGTTATTGATTTTTACATATCTATAGCTTTTAATAAAGTTTAACAAAATCTTCTTTAGCTTCATATGACTTATCTGGTTTTTAAAATTATTAAATCATTCCATTCTAATTGCAGAGAGAGCATTTAACAGGACGTTCACGCCTCCTTCTGTACCAATATCGCTTGTTGGGGTAGAGCTGGAGTCGAACCTCGGACCTCTGGGTTCTGAGCCAGAACTCTAACCACTGTGCCACAGCTGCTCAAAATCTTCAACATTGCTAATAGGGAATTTGTCTGAAAAAATTGACTTACTTTTAAGGCAACATAAACACAAACATATTATTTAAAAAATTTTTATTATGTTTAAACAAAATGTTAATCTGTTAAAAAAATTATTTAACATATTTTATGGTTAAAATAAATTATTTATTAATAAATTACAATCTGGTTCTTTTCAATTTTGCAACTGAACACAGAAGTTACCACAAGTAATTTTATATAGCCTTAAAGTAGTGTAATAATAATAAAATCTTCTTAGAACCTATGGTAAATACTTCTTTGTCTTTTATGGTAAAAAACTTACTAAAAAATTAATTACTTTTATGGTAAAAAACAGTTGTCAAGTTATTTTTGTGTTTAAAGTATATATATATATATATATATATATATATATATATATATATATATATATATATATATATATATATATATATATATATATATATATATATATATATATATATATATATATATATACTTTAAACACAAATATATATATATATATATATAAGTATATATATATATATATATATATATAAGTATATATATATATATATAAGTATATATATATATATATATATATATATATATATATATATATATATATATATATATATATATATATATATATATATATATATGTATATATATATATGTATATATATATATATATATATATATATATATATATATATATATATATATTATATATATATATATATTGACTGACTGTCTAGGGAGAGCATGCAAGGAGTGCACATGCATCTACTGATTTAAAATAGATTTAACATGCAGGCAGTTTAGATATGTTAGTGTACATTTGGATTAGGCAGGCAATCTTGCCTGCCTTATCCAAAATTGCAACCAGGCAATGTTTATTATATTTCTTATTTCTATTATTTTTATATTTCTATTATTCTTATATTTCTATTATTCATATAATTAAAATTCTGATAGTAATATGATATTTGCTCACCAATAAGTTTATTGTTTATTAAACCTTTATTTATTTCTGTTTATTTTATTCTTATTTCTATTATTCTTATATTTATATTATTCTCATGTTAATATTCTGACAGTGATATTTGTTTGCCAATAAGTTTATTGTTTTATTTAATGTTTTATTTTTAGTCTTATTGGATAGGCTTAAGTGATAGTTACAAAGAAGGAGAGTTTTTTTGGGTGAATAGAGACAAATTGAATAACACAATATCATTCTGGAGGGCTAATGAACCTAGCAATAGCTTTGGTAATGAAGATTGTGTGGAAATGATTAGCCAAGATTCAGGGCTATGGAATGATAACCATTGCACTACATTATTTAATTATATTTGTGAAAAAGTTTCAGGTAAAGTTTTTAACACTGTTTTAACAATTTTTATTGAGTTAATTATTTAATATTTGTATTAAATGTAAAAAATGTAAACTTTCTATTAAACAATCATTGTATTCACCTTGCTATTTCATTGCAAAATTTGATTTTTGCAAAATTCAAAAAATAGCATAAAAGTTTATATTTATTGCTCAAAATGTCTGAACAAACAAGAACAAGGTGTTATAAATAAGTGAGAAAAATAACAGTTCATAATGGCTATATATATATATATATTCAGGTGTCCACAATTGTCCTGATGGTTGGATAGTTTATGGTAATAACTGTTATCAGATAAATGCTCATCCAAATCAAAAAGTAACTTATGCAGAGGCAGAGAAAGAATGTCACAGTTTTAATCAATTATGGGGAAAAAACATTGATGTAACAAAAGCTGAGCTTACAAGTATTTTATCAACAGATGAACAAACAATGTTAGTTAAAGAGTTTAGAAAGTTAGGCACTTTTGGTTTTGGAAATAACTTCTGGATTGGATTAAATAGCATTTCTAATAATGGTCAATTTCATTGGTCTGATTCTTCAGTGTTAAATTTTATGAATTTTGAAAGTTTATCTTATAATGATACAATGAATAAGTGTGTTAGCTCCAGTCTTGCAGACGGATTTTGGAAAGTTTCCTCTTGTGATGTTTTAAACTACTTTGTTTGCAAAGTTCAAAGAGGTAAAATTTATTATTTATATTTTCTAATTGTAAACTTTTTGTTAAATTTTTGCTTTCATTGTAAAATCCTATTTGCCATTTTTTTTTCTAAACATCAATAAACATGTTTTTGTTTTACTTACAGGTAAAGACAGATGCTATGATCCTATGGGCATGCAAGGATTTCAAATACCAAATAGTGCAATAACTGCCAGCGGACAATTATCATCTACAACTCCACCTGGAGCTGGTCGTCTATATTTAAAAAATGGTAATTCACTTGATGGAGCTTGGTGTGCTCGAAATGAAACAGTATGATGCTTACTTATTTAATTTTTATTTATAATTATAATACTTTAAAAATATTTTAAAATATTTATATTTAATTCAAGAATCAATGGCTTCAGATTGACTTTGGACAATCAGAGAAATTAACTTACTTAGCATTCCAAGGAAAGGCAAATTCTGATGCATACATTAAAGGGTTTTATCTTAAATACTCTATGGATGGTGTGACCTGGGATATTTTTGGAGATAACCCACCAACCTTATATCATGTATAACTGCAATTATTAGATTTAATGTTATTTTTTATACTTTAAATTTGATTTCGGAAAAATTGTAAAAAAGTATAATATATGTTAAATAGTGAATATTTTTATATATATGTAACTTTTTATATTTTAGCCATTTACAGCTCTTGGTAAGCGAAGTGATTATGAAACAGTTTTTAGTAATCCGTTTCCGACACAATTGTTAACTCGTTTTATACGCATATACCCTTTTGATTGGGATGTAGCACCTTGTATGCGAGTTGAATTTTATGGCTGTTCACAAGGTTCATCTGCTTGATGATATTATTTGTTTAAAATTCTTAATAAGTATATATTTTTTTCATTATGTTAAAAAACATATTTTTTTCAACTAAGTTCAACTAAGAGTTCAACTAAGAGTTATCGATCTAGTTTGTATGCAACACATTTCAAAGTTATATTTTATACCATTATAAACTGTTGGAAATTAGTTGCTGCCAGTTGATTATAATTAAATAGCTTTTTTAAATTTACCTTATTGTTTGACCTTCATTCAGAATAAATAACATAAATCACTTTATTTGATAAAATTAGAGTTAATTACTTTAATATACATAAACATATATCATTTCATTAAGATACAAAAATATTAATAGATTTATTTGATTACATTAAAATTATTTTTAACGTAATCAAATAATTTATTTTATTAAAATGCATAACATCAGTCACTTCATGAAATATTAAAAACTTTATTAAGATACAGAAACATAAATCATTTTATCAAGGTACATTAATTATTTTATTTAATACATATAACTTCTATTTTTTGATGTCAAAAATGTTAAAAAAAAATCTTCTTTATTAATCTATTGTCTTATTAGATAAACAATTAATTTTATTGTGTAATTGTCCATAATTACAGTATTTGCTTCTTACTTAAAGTCTGTCAAAAAATGAATCAATTCATGAACACTTAACATTATTTGATCATATTTATAGAGGGTTTATTTGGACATATTGGATTTATTAATACCATATCCGATTATTTAAGATCATATTAGACTCAGATTATCAGATATTTTATTATTTGAAATTAAACAATGCGTTTTCTTTTACCCAAATTCAAAAAATCAACTAAAGGCCAAATTCATTTTTAAACAGTGTTTTAAAAGAACAAATTATTCAAAAACATCAAAATTCATTTAACCAATCATAAAATATTTTTTAAAAGTACTACATTATTATAAAAAAATAATACTTTTTTTTGTTTAATATAAAATATTTTTAGATGTAAATTCTAATGCTTGTGGGTTAGGATGGAAAATGGATGTCAAATCCAGAAGCTGCTATAAAATAATAAACCAGAAAACAACATGGGATTGTATGTTAAAGTATTTTTTAGCTCTTAGTTTTTTAAACCCACAGCACACCACACCATATTTTCCAATTGAGCAATTTTTTTTTTATAGGGTATTTAAAATAATTTTTGGTTAATTTCAGCTGCCAACAGTATATGCTTTAATGAAGGTGGCCAACTTCTAAGTATAACTAATCCTGATGAAATGTTATATATCAACAGCGAGTTAAAAGCATTGTCTGGAAAGTCAGACTTTTTTTGGATAGGTATGAATGATCTTGATTCTAAAGGAATATACAGGTGGAGTGATCAGTCTCCAACATTTCTTGTTAATTGGTATAGTGGTAATCCAAAAATTGGAACTTGTAAGTATAGTTTTTAATTTTTTTTTTCAAGTATTATATTCTAAGAATTTCAAAGTTGGTAATAGTTTTTATTGCTGAAAAACTTTACTAAAAAAAAAGAAATAATCTTTATTAAAGTTTCTATGGGAACCATATATATATGTAAAATGTTTTTCATTTTGCAATAGTGTTAAAATTTTAGTTAATGTATTATGAGAACTCTTGAAAAATGTTATTAAAAGAATGTTTTAAAAGAGATTTTCTTTTAAATGGAAGTTACCTTTACTATAGATAAGAAGCTAATATTTATTTAATCAATGAAGCACACAAATTTGTTTAAATATGATTTGTATTTTCAATTAATGGTTTATTTTTAACAAAATAAAATTAATCAATTTTATTAAAATAAATATTGCATGAACTAGCTGCAATATTTTATAAACCTAAGTTAATCAAATTGACACGGTTTAACTTCTGTTCATCAAACTATTTTCAGCGTAAAAAGAGTTGTTGAAAAATTGTAATGAAACTACTTCATTTTTTTAAATTATTTGTAAGGTTTAAAGGAAAATAACTAGAAACTAACTTTTGATTTTTTTATTGAATATTTCCAATTATAGCCCTGCACCAAAGACATTTTTTCACAAACCAAATTGTCAATAGTTCTTAAACAAAAAAAACAAAACAAAAACAAAGCATTATAATAATAACAATAGTATTACTAATAATTTAAATAACATAAGTACGTAAATAGTAGTACTAATGATTTAAATAACAATGAATAATAA